TAGCTGAAGGGGCTGTTTGTTACTCATTGGTTCTTCATGATAGGCCAAGTCAAGACCAGTCAGTCTGTACGCAAGTTCGGTTGCGAAAAGCGGCATTCGCTTCATACAAAGTGGCCTGCGTTATCCCCTCATGACTTGTATGGGCTTCTGGGAGGCAAGAATCCGAACAAAGGCGGAGAATGTGTAGATGATCATGCGAGCCCTGGCTAGCTTAGCCTGGGCGTGATAAATTATGTATGTATCTTTGCGCTTTTGGTTACTCCTAGCGTGGCAGTACGCTTACGGCATGTGAATCTGCCACCACCAAGTAATGGCAGTCATGACAGATGTGTCGGCAAACCTCCGTAACAGATATGCCTGGTTCGAGTGCCAAGGCTGTGTTGGCAACCAATGTTGCTTTCCTCGGGAATATCGGGACATGCCGAGAAAAGCTGGTAGGCCTGGATGGAGGTGAACTGGGTAGATGATGCTGTTTGAGTTGGCGTCATTGGCGGATGATTTTGGGGTTCGATCGGGAGAGATCTAGGCCCTAGTGCGGGGAGTCAGTGCCGTACTGTATGACCTGGGCTTTATTACAAGCCGTCAATCTTTGCTTGCGGCGGAACCCTGCTTGCCTTTGCCTGGCGAAGTAAGCTACGACCTTTCCTGGTACATATGGGTAGGTCGTGGCGGATAATGCGCCGCCATGCAGTCCCCAGAACGAAGGCAGACTTGTTTTCAGCCCTCTACAATTTTGGCTCATAATGGGTTGCACAATTTATTTGTTTGCACAGACAAAGGAGGAATAAAAAAGGAGGCAAGTCACGCTTATCCGAGAGCACCTGCGTGATAGGCAATATGGTATGAAACAAACGAGATTCTGGGCTAGCTGATACAACCTCATCCTGTTGTGACGCCGCTTGAAGCTTGCTTGGGCAAGGCAAAAACCATCGAGTCGTGCACGCTGGTTGGTCGACAACACAACCACAGCGAATACCACATGGTCTTTCGCGGGTCGTAACAATCATTGATCAAGCGTCAGGTCTGAGGTTTGTTATTGCTCGCAGATGACAGGACAAAAAGCTCCACCACGCCTACCATGGAGATCATTACTTGTGTCCCTTTATATCTCCTCTTCCCATTCATCTTGTGAGCTGGACTCTGACGAGCTTGAGATGTTCTCTGGCGAGCTATCTGCTGACTCGTCCCAGGAGGGAACGTACAGGCCCTCATAATCCCACGGTTTGAAGCATCGTGGAAAAAAGGGAAGAACGCCGTTCGAGGTAAGGTCTACGACCTTGGCTGCTTCTCGAAACTGGGCAATCCGCATGGCTTTGATAGGTGTGGTGCTTTGTTCCTGTCGGCTGGTGTTCCACAACGCAGCCATTAGTGGTCTCAGGTCTACCGCCCTGTACCCAGAGAGCTTGATGTGCTTGTAGCTCTACTTCGGCATTAGCTTCGGTGGCGGATGTAGGAGAGTTTCTCACCCAATCGAGTTCGAGACGATTCCTCGTATATACAATCCGCAGAGCAAGGTAGTAGGCCGCTGCCGCAATCCGGCTCGGCTCAATTCCGACGTATCTTTCATCTAGTAGACTACACGTCGATAGATACTGCGCAAGCGGGAGCATGTTCGGCACCTT